GGGGAATTCTGGGAGTTGAAGTCCACGCATCTTAAAGCTGCCAAGGTTGAGAAACACTGATCTAAGGGCAGAGCTTGTGTCATGACATCGTAATGCACATTTCATTACTTGCCCCCCTCCCCGTTGCCACCACTGCTGTGTATGCCTATGAATAAATCCATTACTTTTACCTTTATTAGAAATGTTGGAAGGCTTTCAACAGGGGGAAAGAAGACAAGCAGAATTCAGAAATGGAATGTCTACATTATACTGTATATCCAAAGTTCTGGATTCATTATCTAAAGTGGGGGGGGGGGGAGATGAAGCCTAAGAGTTTTTGACAAAGCACCAAACGATAGTTTAGGATTACCCATAAATAAGGCCAATGTTTTTAGTCAGACAGAAACTTACAGTAATCTCTTTTCCCAGCTTAATTTTTTTTTTTTTAAATTGGCAACTCCAAGTCTTTTGAACAGGGACAGCTTCATAAATGGCCCCAAAGGCTCCCAGCAAGTCTGTAATGATAGTCACTGGCCTCAGAATGGCAAGCAGAACCAGGTGATTGAAGTCCCGTCCCCTTTTACATGTCTGCCATGTATGCAATACACATTAAAAAGAAGTGAGTGTTTCATCACCCAGTTGCATCTGCTATTTTGAGGCTAGTGACCATCACTGCAAAGACTCCTGCTTTGGATGGAAAATATGGACAATCTGAATCTTGAGTAGCATCTGGGTCAGCAACTCTCTTGCTCTGCCTTGCAAGATTTGACACATAAACATTTTTATGGCATTCCTCTTGTCTTGGTTCAAGGGCAGTTTTATTAATTCTGGTGCGGAATACCCAAATCTCCCCAGTTTGTTATTACAGCTTGGAGAAATTTCCAGATTTACAACATACCATCCCCATGTCTTACCTATACTTGTTCATCCAGATCACCTAAGATGTCATCTGCTTACTCAGGGAGGGGGAGAAAAAAGCAATACATTCACCTGTGCTCAAGTGAGTCCCATTGCTTTTGGACGGAGCTCTGGGCCAATTCTTATTTTGTCCTGATGGGCGTAGAAACCAAGCCATTGTTGGAAAGAGGTGGGTCTGGCTTCAGACTCCAGCAGAGAAGGAAGATATAGAGTCTTAAGAAATTCTGCTGGAGGGAGGAACAAAGGCAATCAAGTTGAATGAAGCTCCTTGTCACTTTGCATTCTTTACCATCAGATGGTCCATGCCTCCCGGCCAGGCAGTTGGATTTGCAGACCCTCCCTTCCTGCAAAAAGCTGACCATCCTAGATTACTTTGAAGGAAGTGCTGCTGGTTTTGGAATCCTCATTGCTGCTCTATGTTGTTTGCCTTTAGGTATGTTTCAGTCCAGGTTTGACATTTTCCTTTCCTTTCCAAGGTGGGGTTCAACTGGGGACGTGTCCCGGGAGTGAGATTGTTGAAAACTTGAATAAAGCATCTCTGTAAGGGCAATGTATGTGAGTGCTCACTTCCAGAGAAAAGAACCAGTAGTTCAGACATCAATGGAATAAAAGTTGGACCCACAGCTTATTAGGCCATTCAGCCTGCATCATTCTGACAACAGCTAAATGCTCTCTCTGAAGAAAGTGAAGACGGAGACAATGAGAAGCAACATGTATGGATCTGGAACCTTTGGCCAACCCTCGATTTTAGCCCCCTTGGTTTCCACTATGCCCTCTGCTTTTTAAGCTGATCAGTAGAAGGCAATGGCACCAGAGGTGATTGAGACGGTGCAGGTAGCAGGGCCATTGTCCATAGTGGTGAAGAATTCTGTGATTTGTCATCCCAATAGTTCTGAAGGACACCAGCTTGGAGAAAAGTAGCATGAGGTGATCAATGTCATTAGCTAATAGGAAGAATTTGCAGGTCCCCAACAATGCTCACTGTTGGCACCAGGACTGGCATCTGTGAACAATTCCAGCTGTTGCAACATCAGCCAATGCTTTTCTTGCTGGTGTTTCTGCAGTGAGTCTGTTCATTGCCTGGGTTGTTGCTGCTTTCCGGAGGAGATCTTTCCGTAAGCTGCAGAAGAAGCAAAATCCCACCATTCATCCAGAAGTATCTGCTGAAGGAACCCAAGGTGAGGAGCGATTTTGCCAGAGTGGCCATTACTCAAAGATTCCATTCAGACACAGTATGAATCAAATGTACAGTTCCTGGATAATTTTTTCCTAATTACGATTCAGAAACTATTACATCTCTCTCTTGTATTCTATTCACTGGGGTTATCCTATTGGATTTAGATTCCTGCAGATAAGAAAGTGATGGAGAAAAGTTATGAACACTTGGGCATTAGTTATATTGGTGTAAATAGATGCATTACCTGTTTAAAAACCTACCTGTCTTCAAAGATGATAAAAGACTCATTGGGAAATGGGAACCTGGTTGTTAGAAAATGCAAGGCTAATTCAGAATCCTCTTCCCCCAGCCTTTGAATGGCAAGGCTCCAAGACGGACAGTTCACTTGTCTACATCCAACTGAAGGAAGACAGAGTGATCAAAGTGCTTGATAGCAAGCTGGCTGTGGTTCGAAGCATAACCCTAAAAAGCCAGCAGAAAGTGGAGACCATCATGTCTAACAACAGAGGCAGCAAAGCTATACTTCTGAAGATCCCTAAAGAGTATGACCTGGTACGTACCAAGGAGGATGACAACCAACTATTTATGTTCTCATTTACACACCAGAAATGTTTCCACCTTGCCTTTCTGTCTTCCAAAACTTCCCAACCCCCAGGAACCTGAGGAAAAATAAAATAGCATCCAGGATTATCTCCATAAAACACATAATTTTATGCCAACTATTTAACAGCAGTAGGAATGTAGTTGTTTTAACTGCTGTTTTGAACAGAGTCAAAGAGTGGGCGCTAAATACCCCCTGTTATAAATATCTAAGTCATTGTTGAATTCATGAGCATCTAAAATATCCTGAATATCTCAAGCAATGTCTTAAAAATTAAAATATGAAAGAGCAGTATAGAACAAGGTTGCCTTTTAGTTGCTGTAGTCTCAGGCTATTTACAACAGAGCATTGTAGTACAATTGTCTCTGAAGTGAAAATAGCTGCAGATTTACCAGGTCTCAAGATTCTCCACCTCAGCTGGGAATGTCTCCTGTTTCATTGTTGTTTTTAGGTGTTGCTGTTTAACACAGAAGCAGAATGCAAGGACTTCCTTGGACAACTGAAAACCTACTTGGAAATAAATGAATTATCTCTCCAAGTGTCAGTGATGAGTGAACAGCAGCTGCTGAATAAGGCAGTAACCAAGGAGCAAAGAAAAGATATTCTGGAAATTTTTTTCCGGCATTCGTTTGCTCAGGTGAGTGGGGAAGCTGTTTCTCCTCCTCTCCTTCTCCTTCTCCTTCTCCTTCTCCTTCTCCTTCTCCTTCTCCTTCTCCTTCTCCTTCTCCTTCTC